GGATCACTGTGAGCCGAGGATTCGATCCTGCTCGTGAACGCGCAACACGGTATTTCCCAATAAGAATGTCGAACGAGCAAGGCCAAAATACGAGAAGCAATAAGAATCGGAAATAAAACTGTAAAACAAAGAATTAAAAAAAAATATATAAAAAATAAAAAGAATAAAAAAGAATAAAAAAGAAAATCCAAAGAATTATGAAGGATAAAATTAGATGAGTATTCTTACTATTGTCAGATTATATATACATTTAATACATTAATTACATATAATAACTATTAAGAACGGAGGATTAATTGTTAACATCATAAGATATTAATTCTTAATATCTTAATATTTTCTCGCTCTCGTATCGATAAATTGTTTATTGCTTATCAGATTGATTAATATTTAATTTTCGAAGATTTTAATAGAGCGGTAGTTAAAAGCTTCGCTTTTCAATCGTTTCACGTTTAATATGACGTGGTTAAGAAACATACAGGAAAAACGCCGCTCGATATCGTCAAGAAAAAAATATTAAAATCTCTTTATCATTAAAATAACGTCCTTATCCATTTTTCATCTATCTTTATGTCTTATTCTTATCTCTCGTCATCTTTCGGCCTCGAGTCATTTAATCAATGTGGCTTCTCTGTCAAAGGCACATGGTTGTAAGGTACCTGTTAGTTTCTACAATCGTTTTCCTCTGCTCGACGATCGCACTGACCGTTTTTTTTTTCTTTTTCATCACCGATATTGCGCGTTCCGAGCACGTTCGCTGAATTGTAACAATCGTCGTATACAATCATGTTCTACGTATTGAAGAAAGTGGGTTAAGACAAGTTTCGCCGATTTTGCGGTCGATTGATTACCTAAAAAGATGCGCCGGAGATTCGACGCATTTACGAGATATATTAATTATACCAGGCGCGGGTCCTACTTTCTCCCTCCTGTCTACACAAAATCTGCGATTAATATCGCGTTTACTTCTTTATTTTTTTTATTTTTTATTATTATCCTTTACTATTTATTATGTTATCGTTATCGTTAACTTTACTCATTATATCGTTACTCACTACCGTTTATTATCCTTGCTACTTTGTTGCTTTAACTATGGAAACGAGAAGAACGTAGTACGAGCTGCCACAACTATGGTATTGTACGTACGTGTATCTTTGTATGTGTGTGTGTGTATGCGTGTTTTATGTTTGGTTTTGTTCTGCGTGTGTACACACAATGTGTACACAATCGTTTATTATCCTTGCTACTTTGTTGCTTTAACTATGGAAACGAGAAGAACGTAGTACGAGCTGCCACAACTATGGTATTGTACGTACGTGTATCTTTGTATGTGTGTGTGTGTGTATGCGTGTTTTATGTTTGGTTTTGTTCTACGTGTGTACACACAATGTGTTCATCGAGGATAATGTCCTCCGGTGTGATCCGGGCCGCGTCTCCCCCCTGTTCGCTTCGATAAAATATTTCCGAAACCGGGCAAATATACATATAATTATCAATTCGTTCTTTCTTTCTCTCTCTCTCTCTCTGTCTCGCTCACTCGCTTTCATTCTCTCTCTTTCTCTCTTTCTTTCTTACGGCGTATATCCAAAAATCTTTAGAAATTCTGAAATATGGTAAGAATAGGTACAAATATCGTGGGGAGATTATCGCAGCGAATATTACAAAATTCTTTCTCTCTTTCTTTTTCTCCCATATCTTGAGACGGGAAAGAAATGCCGCAAGCGATTCAGCGATTCTCAAAAGTGATTTAAGGATTGTGCTGGCTCACAGAAGGAGCTGGACGAAATTTCATCAGGAATCACGGTTTACCGAGTTTTCCTTCAGCGCGCTCACTATGCGAAGAAAAAGGCTTTTGCAGCTCGCAAATGGAAAAATAGTTGTATTTCTTTCTTTCTTTCTTTTTTTTTCTCTCATCTCTCATTCTCACCTTCAACCGCACTCTTGAAATAGCTACAACTTTTTTCTGGGTTCTTTTTCTCTTGATTTTCACTTAAGTTCAATGAGAGTTACCCTGTGAGTACATGCACGAAGGGTCGCAGAAATTACCCCGTGTGCAGGTGCAATGCTCGAGAAATATTACCTGGTTACGCTTTTAACTGCTAAGTGTATCGTCCGCTGATTAAATATAATTGACTTTACTTAATGTGTAGTGGTAATGATTGCAAGGATCGCTAATATAATTTAAAAGTGGTACCACGAAAAAAATTTAGCGATCAATTATGCATTGAAATGTCATTTAAAACAAAATTTGGTAAATCAAAAAAGGCCAAAATATTATTCTACAAAATTACGTCAATACTCAAAATCGTGAAAAATAGTTCAAAACTTTTGTTATTTCAAAATATCTTGCATAAAAGATTAGAGGCAAATATAATCCTCTTTTTAAAAACTAAAAAATTTTAAATTTATTTAATTTTAAAGTTTCGCGTCTAATACTCAATTTTGAAAATTGGAGATATAATCTAAGAATAATTCTTTCAATTAATTTATTTTTAAAGGATTTTCTTAGAACGCTGAGAGAATGTTGCGTTCGCTTAATCTTAATCATGTTTATTACTTTCGATAAAATGTTATTGCAAAATACACAATCTGTAAATATACGGCGAATTATGCGCGGAAGATAAAAAAATAGCGTGGCAAAAGGGTGCCAAAAATGTTTTAGTGTCATGTTTTTAGTTTCATAATGGAAAAGGCTTGTTCGTGATATGCGTATGGGACATGCATACACAGTATAAATATGCGAAAAAAATGCATTGGATGAAAGGGACGCTCGTCGCAAATGTATAGAGCGACGGCAATTAGCTGAATTTGTAAAGATTTTTGGGCGCACTACTCTTCGCTTCCGTACACGCGCAAAAATGAAACTGCTTATTTGTAGCTCATACTTTATAATTTTTACCGTATGTGTGCGATACAATTACGTGTAATTAGCAGTATCATTATTAGACTTTTTATTATAATTAGTGTTACAAAAGCTTGATTATATTTGGATCGGACTGTAGCAATATATTCACATAACTATCATCGTGGAAAATAAAAATTTAACGTTTACATTATACAATTATTCTTCATCACCATTTCGTCGATTCGGTATTTATTTGTAGATTCTCCTCTGCGAGTTGCGTAATAAATACAGTTATTTCATATAATAGTCATCATAATCATCAGTATTATCGGCTCTCCCGACCCGGTTTTCCCTCGTCCATTATTATACGACGGTCGTTTTACGATATTTTCTTGTCAAATATTTCCCCCCTTTATATATATATATATATATACTATATTTCCCTATATGTATAGTACGAATCACACACACGATCTAATAAAAAGAATAAAAATTCAATAAACGCTTTTTTTTGCAAAGCTTCACGTCTTCGCAAAACGAACTAAGCGAAAATCATCTCTTTTCGCCGTTTCCAATGCATGATCAATTCTATTTTTATTTTATCAATTATTGCGTCGATTTAACAATCAATTTCCATCGATTCTTTTGTCGATTGCAAAGTACTAAGCACCGTGAGTTCATCGCGCGACACGTTATACGCGAGATTGCACGAGAAGAGAGTAGTATCATCTACTATCGCTACTACTCGTCTAAAAAGTATAATTGGTAACTGCAGGATCGCAGGGTCCCTGATGCTATTATACGAAAATCGATCGTTGTGAGACATTGCATTACCTCTTGCAATTCTCTCCCCCCCCCTCTCTCTTTCTCTCTCTCTCTCTCTCTCTCTCCCTCCCTCTCTCTCCCTTTCTCTCTCTCTCTCTGTCGTATCGATAAAATTAATCGTCAATCTCTTACGACTACAAAATTACAAATATGAAATATCATAAATCGCGTATCTACTGGCACTGATAACGACCGAGACGAAAGCACACAGAGCGGAGATACGAAGTATCCAAACAAAAAGTACACGCTTACGAAAAATCGGTATCGCGCGAGATCGTGCGGACATTCTCGTTCAGCACTCTAAAATTCACAATAATTATTATTATTATTATTATGTACAAAATCCTACTCCTTTTTCTTTCTTTCTCTCTCGTCGATCGCGTCTTCTTCTCTAACGATCGGTTCGAGACTCGTTTCTAACACATCGTTTGTCCTATTTCCTTTGCATTTTATACGCCTCATTGCATTGCGCAGCACGCATATTGTACGGAATAATTCCATACAAAGTAAATTAACAAATATACCTCTTTCTAAAATTATATTTTTATCGCAACTTCTCACAACTTAACGAAACAAAATCCCAGGGATTAGTCTCGTCTTGATGATTACCCGCTACTTCCGCGACAAGATTATCGAGCGACTATAAGCTCTGTATAAATTTTCCCCTATCTCCTTATATGGTATCTTTGCACCCCGTATACCGAAAGAGCATAAGATAGTTAAAGTTACAGTGATACATAGTTCAGAATCATGTGTTCCCGTACATGCTTAACAATGGTACGAAAAATATATAAGTATATAATTGTTCACGCGCAAACGATAAACGCGCTCGATCGTTTCTTTCGGGAGTCGCAGCGGGCAATCAATCGATCACTTGATTCGCCCAGTTTTTCTTTCAAAAGTTAAAAGAATGATTCAGCCTCCAACAATTGTAAAACCTTACAAACTGTAACACAGAAACGATATTTATATATCATCTTTTTTTTCCGCGTCGACTTTATTGCTATGAAATACACGACAAATGTCCAAGATTAGGACGACTATCGAAGTTTGAAACATCGACGTACGCTTGTAGAGCGGAGGAAACTCTCGTACTAAAAGGAAAGTCAAGTGGACGCGGTGTCGAACGGAGATAGAAATATCGTACCGTGGAACAAGGATTTAAGGATTCTTTGAGGAGGTGCTTGGAGAGTTTGCGTCGGTCGAAGAGATAAATGAACTGAGGGAAAAAGAAAAGAGGTTCATCCAACAACCCAGGCTGGCAGTAGTTGAGAAGACGACAATGCTCGACGCGGTAACTTCTTCGCCCAGGCAGTTCGATCGCTCCTTCGATCTTGACGCGTGTCCCACGATCCTTCCCGGCTTCCATAGATCTTGTGAAGTGCAACAAAAGTGACAAGGATATTCGGCGCGTATCTCTCGAAGATAGTGGTTGCGAATCTCGCTTTCTGGATAAGAGGTACATAGTCAGATCGTTCCAGAGGAGAAAAGATCGAGCGGGGGAATCGTTAATGGATCATCTTCAAAACTAGCTTCATTGATCACGCGTACTACCCGAAGACTCTGATTTGCTTTTCTGCGATGCTCGGCAGAGTAAGCTTCTCCCTTTATCATGTTTTTTACTATTTCGCATTTCTTGTCTTTCCGAAGGAAAGTTCAGAGGGAGATCGGTTCGTGAATATCGGTTCATCTTCTTTCTATTCTTCTTTCTCCGGTTTCCTTTTTTCTCGTTATGTCGCTCCAGCTACATCATCCACGCGGTAAGTCAGACTATTCGGATGCTTTCTTGAAGGATTCCGCGAAAAAGGATCCGCGCATGAGCTGCTGCCTCGCGGTATCTACCGACTTCCAGCGCTCTCTGACGATTGGGCGACCGCCGCGGGATTGTGACTTGTCTCGTATTCCATCACTTCCTGATAGATCAGCTCCTTCCACTGATCTACTGTATGTTCCCTCTCGTCCACGCTATGATCGTACGGACCTGGTGCGGGCTGTAAAACAAATCAGAATTTTTTTCGTAAATAATGTAAAGTTAACAATCGATTCTTTAACAAGAGTTTCCTTGAGAAATAAAAATGTAACAAATATTTCTTTAAAAAGGAACATCTTTAACGTGAAGAATCTCTATTTTATAATCCATATTATCAAGATTTTTTTATTTCGTCACATAAAAATATGATTACTCGCTATTTTAGAAAATATAATTTTTGGAGATACATTCGCGCTCGCTTTGAAATGTAGGAAAGGAGAAGAATTCAATGCGCTTTCTCGAATTAAATTAGTGAGCACGGTAAATCGAATGATTTCCCATAGAAGATTATCCGATTAGCCGGCTTATTCACGCGATCAATCGATAAAGCCTACTTACGGCATTGACTTCCCCCTCGTCGTACCAGACATTTATGTAATTGTGCAGCAACGCCTCGTCCACGGAAATGCGTCGCTCCGGATCGATCACGAGCATGCGCGACAATAGATCTCTGGCTTGGCTTGCTGGAAGAGGAAGTAAACATTGTAAAGAGAAGAACGAGGGAAGACAAGGTAGCGGCAACGAGAATGCGAGATCCTCTCGTCCAAACGTCAGAACGCGCGCGTTCTGCGATCGATTCCGCTACGCGGACGTCGACTTGCTAACCCACTCACCTTTTAATCTATTGTGCTCCGAGGAGTCCGAGGGAAAAAGGACGTCCGGAAATAGCCTCTCAAAAGGATAGCCTGGATATCGCGGCCTGTTCTCCACGTAATTCCTGACAGTCGGTTGCAGCCGTTGCATAAACTCCTGCGCCGGAGTACCAAGTTGCTCTGCAAATAAAAGATTATGGAAAAATGAAATTCGAGAAAGAGAAAGTAGTCTATTGATAATGTCATAAGCTGACGGGATATCATGATTCTTGTGTTATTCGTAAGATATAATCTGTCCCGATTCTTGCAATAAGATAGAATAGACAATACATGTGTGTGGTAATCATAATTATCTTTCTTTTAACATAAAGAATATTAATCCGTAAAGTGCACAGTGTCACGCGATTATCCTTATAGCAAAAAATATTAGAAGAAATAGTGTAAGGTAATTAAGATCGCTCATTTATATCAAAAAAGTTATAAAATAAAATAATTATCTAGTTATTTTTATAATTAATGAAATATATTGGACAAATGCAGATTTTAATTTTTTGAAATTCTGGTCAAATTAATCGCTATTTTTTATATTTTATTTAATCCCGAAAACGCGCAATAATAAAATAACATTATATATATATTTATATTATATTTATATTTATATTTAAAATAATATGTATATTTATATTTACGCACAGTAAAATAATATTTAAAACATGGACTTTTTTTCATTATAAATTTGATTTTATTTCATATCTTCAAAGTCCAAAATTGATATCATCTCACAAAATTTTATTTTACAAAATCGAGTTTTTTCAATTTATCAACTAATAATATGAATAATATAGTTAGATTAGTAATACAATTATGCTATATATATATATATAAAATTATATATTAATAATATAATCACTATCAACCAAAAAGTATCAATCTTACCGATTATTTTATTCCACTGATCGATGTGATCCGTGCCCGGGAAGAGAACACCACCGCGTATCATCTCGCCCATAATACATCCCACCGACCAGATATCCACGTTTTCCTTGTAACCCATGCCTAGAATCACCTGGGAAAGAAGATAGACATCCCGAGTGAGCGAAGAAGTCGAACCGGAAACTGGCGGCGTAAAAAATTACATCTCGCAAGAGAAATTTGGCTCACCTCCGGCGCTCGATAATACCGCGTTACGACATAAGGTGTCATCATGAATGTGGTGCCGGCGGTCCTCGCCAAGCCGAAGTCGAGAATCTTTAGCGTACAGTCGGACTTCACGACGATGTTGCTTGGCTTTAGATCCTATACGGAAAACAAAATCAAATTTTAGAGATTTGTCTGATCGCTTGAGAAAATTATTTAAAAAAAAAATAATTTAAAAAACTATATAATCTCTCTCTCTCTCTTTTTGTGAAATTGATATAAATCAGAAGAATAACCATCACAAAATATTAGCGAGTTAATCGCATTAACGTCTGAATTTTAATTTTTAGCGCACAATTACGCGCTAGTTTCGTAATCACTGCATTCTTAATGAGGTACGCGACACCGGTTTAGTTATTCTATTATACGTGCGGAAGGGGAGCAGAAAATTAATCAAAACAACGGCAATTATTTCTTTTGCCGCGAAACAACAACAATAACAAAAATATAATATGCAGAAATGGCCGTCGTTAATGAATCTCGTTACGGTAAATTAAATGGCTCCGGCCGTTATGCAATTTTTATCTCGAGGTGCGACGCGCGAACATACCCTATGAATGATGCCGGCGGAGTGTAAGTGCTTGATGCCGCACAACATCTGGTAGAGAAGATACGACATACGCTCGTGATCCAGATCCATCTGGATCACCTGGCACAGATTCGCGTCCATGAGCTCCATCACCAGGTACACGTCTTGAAACTCGTCCAGCGACCGTTGCGGCGTGAACGCGTTCAGGAGACCGATTATCTGCAAGGTGACAAGTCGTAAATTGAGAAGTCGGATGCAATAACAGCGTGCGAGTCAATTTCGCTTTCGAAATCATCGAACTATGCAGCAGTCTGAATATTATAAACGACCGCAAGTAAAATTTATCCTCTCGCTCTTCCCTTTTCATTTACGTATTCGGATTTCAATTATTATTACATTCAACTCTCTTCAATTATGCTCCTGATATCGAATTGAATGATCGAAACTGGAAAGCAGTTGACTCGATTAGAAAATTTGATTAATGTCTGAATTTACTTTAAATTTACAATTTCTGCAAATCTCGAGTTGTAATTTAATTAGCACACATGCCATTCCCAGAAATAAAATGGATCAAAATTATGATCGCGAGTATGACGGGGAAAAAGTTAATAGCTAAGCGCTACTTGTATATATATAAATTTTTTTAAACTTACTCTTGTGTATATATATGATACAAAAAGAAATAATAGACAATAATCTTGTGTAATAATATAATTAAAAAGATAATTATATACATATATATACACTTCTCGCGCGAAATGTGTTAAATTTAGCAGCAAAGCTTTAACACTTGAATAATATAATATTATAAACGTATAGCTTTTATTGCGATTTTTTTCATTGGACATACACGACAAATGCGGCGTCCAAAGCCAATATATGTCACGCATCGAGGATTGTCGCAACGAAACGAGATTGAGATGATGAAACTTACATTTTTGTGATTGACCAGCTTCATGAGTTTGAACTCTCTGTAGGCCCTCTTCGCGTGTGTCACGTTTTGAAAAGGTCTGGACAGCTTTTTAATCGCCACATTTTGCGCAGTGACGGTGTCGTACGCCGCGCTACAACAGAAATGCAAAAGATCAATTATGCATTTGATCAATTTAAAGCTCCTCAGAGAAATTATCGAATTAAAATAAATAATTTAACTCTAAATAGTATTTAAACGTGATAAAAAACTTGTTAGCATTTAAATATATTTTATTTCTGATTCTAATAAAAATTATATACCGCGTGTCTACGTATAATTTCGTTCTGTTTATCACAAGATTCTTTTTATTTAATCAAATAAGGTGTAATATTAATCTGTAATATTAACAATATACATTTTGTCAAAAAAAAAAAATAAACATTTGCAAGATATATGATAAATCTTTTTAATTCAGAAAAAATAATTAATAAAATATGCGGCGATCTTATTGCAAATATTAAAAGAAACTACACGCCAAATTCTCAACATTAACTACAACAAATTTAACACACATACATGGACGCGCTGTTTAATATGCAATAAAACTGGTTCAAAGTGTCAACGAGAGAGACAGAAAAATGGGCACACCGGCAGCATAAGACGGATCGTGTGAACCATGGATTTTACTCACCAGACGATACCCTGAGCGCCGACGCCACGCGGTACGACGTCAACGTACCTCTCGGGTATGCAAAGCTCCGTGTCGCCAAAAACATGACGACGATAGCCGCTTCGAATGTTGCTCGATTCCATCGCGTTCGTCGCCATCGCATTACCTCTTTAAAGGCGACTCTTTCAGCCCGGCTCTCTTTCTCTCTCTTTCTCAAAGCTCAGACACCCTCTGCTTCTCGTGGCGGTTCTCGTATCTTAACTAGGTAGTGTATATCGTCGCTCTAGCTACCAAACCAACGACACAAGAACTACAAGGAACGAAAACAATCAAGTCGAGTGGCGACGGAGAAAATTTATCGTTGTCAGATTTCTCTCGACGACATTCGCGACCAGAAGATTTTCAGCGATTATATGGCGTTAAATGTGGTTATCAGCACATAATGAAATCCATTAATCTTTTCGTTAATATCGCACGATTTATCAAGGAGAGAAAGAAAAATGGATCTATCGATTATTGACGCTGTTATTAAATTGAACAATTGCTCTACTAAAATTCGCATGCATCTATTTCCTTTTTGTTCTCAACGATTTATTTGTTGACCGGTATTAAAAATATTCTTTTATTTCTTTTATAAATTTATTTGTTTCACCATACCTGTGCGTAAATCAACGAGTTAAAATACATCTGCGGCGCTACATCACGAATTTGATTATTTATTGCGAAAATGCAAGCTTGTCAAGAGTACTAAATTACACTTTGCGCCTCGCGTTGCGAAACGGGTCGCGTTTCGCGAAACGTAATTTTTCTCCGTCGACCGTCGCAACAACGTCACCGACAGTGGTCTCAAAGGACAAACGAGCGTGATGTGTAACTCTTGGAACAAACTCGAGTTTTAGGCTCGTCGTTCCACCTGGCAATCCTTCAAAGATCCTCTCTTTCTACCACGCGAAAGCTTTCCCTTTGAGAGCCGTGTCGCACGAAATCATGCTTGATTGTCGGAACCATCCGTACACAGTTTAACACGCTTTTCCTGAGCGCGCGCGATACACTTTTGTGAAATTTCCTCGCGTAGCATCAATGTCAATTGTGAGCCAATCCATGGTGCGAGAGAATTGGTGGATGGATCCAAGAATCATGCAAGGATAAATAAATCGGCAATCAAAAAATAAAATCATAATCGATAAGCAAGTATGTAGTTGCAATATAGCTGAAATATTTTGTGCAATAGAGATTTATAGCTATTATATATACCATATTCAAAAAAATATTATATTTTGTTAGAAAAAATAAAAACTTGATTGTACATCAGATGCATTAAGGGAATCAAAATAGACGTTTATCGAGCCACGAGTACTTTATATCTTTCTTATAAAAAGTTGTGTGATAATTTTTTATAAAGTTATTAGCTTTAATATATTTGTGAAAAACTTAGTACACCAAATATTAAAATAATTCATTAATTCCTTTAAAATTATTGTGTACATTATTTTCTGTTTTATATGTTGGATTGCCGCAAAAATCATTTTTGTGGGTCAAAAATATCTTGCAGTCGCAGCTCGTTAAGCGAATGCGATTGAACGCAAACGGGTTCAATCATCAGTCGGAGCAATCATCAATTAAACCGGAAAAATAATGAGCGGCACAAAAAAATACTGGAGAAAGCAAGGCATGCGGATCTTACGTAAGCATGGATTCGCCACGAATGGCAGAACATTTTCCTTCGCCCTATCTTTCATAATATCATCCTTTTGCTACCAAGATCATTTCCTCATGAGAGAAATCGTATTCGACGACCGGTTAAACACGATCAAACAAGCTAAGAGTTTTCTCAAACATTTCTGTATGTCTAAGATCCAGTGGATACATCCAAGGAGATTTCAAGAGATTCTCTCTCTCCGCGAAAAATTCTGTGACTTTATAAAGTGATGTATATATCGCTGTGCCTTTTAAAATAAATTTAATACCACAAATTGTGTAAATACACTTAAAATTGATACAATTTATTTTTAAAGATTTAATATTGAAAAAGTTTAGATAAAATGAAGGAATAGTATCTGGTATAACAGAATTTTGATCCACTTTCTCGAAGAAATTAAAAAAAGTAATCTCACGAAGTTCAGGTAAAATTTCAATTAATTTTCTCGACAGTTTTTGAAAAAGTTGCGTTAAATTTTCTTCAAGTACAAAAATATATTATTAAAATTATTAAAAAGTTTTTAAAATCTTGAAGATATATATCTATAAATATTTAATAACATATTTTTTAATAAATCACAAGAAAATATATGAGTTTATAAACTCAATTTTTTTTGGTTTCTCTGTACACGAAATAGCTTTAAAATATATTCTTTCCAGCAGTAAAATCTTTCGTGCGTGAAATAAACTTAATGTCCGGAAAACACTGTCAATTCAAAATAATTTTCAGCGGTACTTTACACATCATTATCTTAAATCTAGAAGAGAAAGAATATAAAAAAAGACATCTTCTATATAATTGCAAATTTCAATAAATATGATACAAGATGCTTAGTATAAAAATCTTCTTAACAACTGACATTTTGTGAACAAAGATACTTCTCTTTTTATATTTCATGACAAGATAATGAAATTTTATATCAGCAAGAAAATTTCTCCCTTGCGGAGTATCCTTGATAACGCCAGGATTAACGCACAAATTCCGCCGTGTATAATATCCTATCATCGTTGGTCGATTTCCTAGCGCGGATCCTGACCTATCTTCCGTGCACACAGAATCGACCAACCTTTCTCGAAAGCAACTGGCTTTTCGAGAGACGAGACGATGCGAGGCGAGACGCCTCGCATGTTGTCCGTAATGGACCACGCCACGGTAGAGAATTTTATCGAAAACCGATATCCGCATTCCCTTCGACTAATGACAAGATAATGAAATTTTATATCAGCAAGAAAATTTCTCCCTTGCGGAGTATCCTTGATAACGCCAGGATTAACGCACAAATTCCGCCGTGTATAATATCCTATCATCGTTGGTCGATTTCCTAGCGCGGATCCTGACCTATCTTCCGTGCACACAGAATCGACCAACCTTTCTCGAAAGCAACTGGCTTTTCGAGAGACGAGACGCCTCGCATGTTGCCCGTAATGGACCACGCCACGGTAGAGAATTTTATCGAAAACCGATATCCGCATTCCCTTCGACTATTCGTTCGTCCGTTCGTTCGACTTACCTGCATGGCTATGGTGTATTGTTCGAGATTGCGCTTTCTCGGATAATGCAGTATTTCAATTTCTACCGAGAATGTCGAAAGGGGAGACACGTGCGAGGCGCCAAGGGGAACGGTCCAGGGAACGATCATGTGGACTTTCTCACTTACAATCGATACTGTTCGCCATGAATTTCAACAATTTCCGAGTTTGATCTAACAGACTACCATGCTACATCACTAATAGTTAATAGTTAAAGCGAAGGATGGAAACTAAAACAGAAATTGGCGCTCATTCGTGAAATAGTCGAATCTATTCGAACGGCAAATTAAGGGGACTAATGTATAACAACAGTTTATTGTATTTTCGCAAAGTTTTCAAAGATATTTCGAGGAAAGCTATCAAAGTCGAGAAATCAAAATTAAAAAAAAATTTCTCAAGTTCTTAAGAGTTATAAGTCCCAGAAAATGAAATAGATATTGTATTATAAGAAAGATATAATTTTTATTATGTAATAACTAATGAAAAATTCAAGAAAAATCAATTAAAGAGTATGCCAACTAATTTGTACTATAATGCTATATTATTGTTACTTTCATATTATTAATTTGTATTTTAATAAATAACAAATAAATTTATTAATTAATTAATATTATAATAAATAAGAGTGAGCAAATGTGCAAGGATGAATAAACACGCAAGCAAGAAGAGAAATTTTAAATGGCATTTTTACAAAAATTAAAATATTTAGGATATAGGATAAATTAATGCATTAGAATAAATATAATCTTCAACAGTAATTAAAATAATTAATAGATAAAATAAAACATATACAAATAAATAAAGATTTAATAACTAGAACGTTAGATCTGAAAATAGACCAGTAAAAAAAAATTTCTCAAGTTCTTAAGAGAGAATAAATCATAAAAGCTCTATTATTGTATTATATTCTTTAATTTTTTAAATTTAATTTACTTTGTCGGAAAAAATTTTTACTTTATTTAAAAAACATTTTTTAGGACAATTATTATTAATAAAAATATAGAGCACAGAATTTCCCAACTTTATAATCTACTTTAATGTTAAAGTTTTATCTTTGAAAAATTGAAAAGGAATGACAATATATTGCATTCAATTAATAGCGATATCACGAAAAATAAATTACTTATATACTTAACGTTTCAAGAATATAATTAAAAAATCGTAATAAAACGACAAAAAAAAACACCGTAATTATATATTCGTCTATTCACGAGAAAGCAGCATTGAGTTAATAATTCGCTTCGAAATCGAGATCTGAAGATCGAGTTTCGATGGCAGGCACAATGACAAGGACGAAGACGACGATAGAGAATGTCATGAAATTGTCGTCGAAGACGATTTTTCCAACATCACGTCGCAAGCTTACAAGAAAGGGGCGTTCTGCCTCTTGTCGTCATCGTCCCTGCGCATACTCTTGCGAAATCCCGATATTCCCCCTCATTCTGAATCGAATTGTCCGATTTACCTCGACTCCCCCGAATTCGTCCTCACAGCGAATGGTATCTCTCGTTGCTCTTCCACGAAAGAAAAGCGCGGATGAGAAATCGTAGTTAATCCTCATACCTCTCGAGATATATATTGTAGCGATACAAAGTTCAACCAACTTCGAATTCACCTCGAAACTCGCGTCTGATGGATGTCGCTATTATTGTCAGTTGTATAGGTAATGCAAGCAACTTGAATAGAAATAGGTGAGGCTTGACGTTATTTTATCCGCGAAACAGATAAGACAAGATATATTGAAATAAAATCCAATAATATTTGCATTGCATATACCGATAAAATAAATATAATTCAATATCAATCAAGACATAAAATAAACAATATTGTGAGATTCTGTCTGTAAACGCTTAAAATTTCCTTTAATTTTCAATTCTTTATTATTACGTTATTAGATGTTTAATCTTCTCTATTAAATATTTTATTATATATTTAAATATTTGGTTATTAATTTTGATTTTAATTATTAACTTTATCATTATAAAGATCTTTATTCCGTGCGAACAATTGTACCGCTAGAATCCTAAGGGGAAGAAAGTTAATTTACCGCTTGATGCCTCAAATCTGCTCGTGTCTCTTCTTAAGACTTTATATATATAACAGATCAAAATTGCACAAAAGACTGACGTCATCAAATTAAACGGCTAATGAAACACCTACCAAACTATTCCCTGCGCGCCCGATCCGATAGGCTTGAGGTTCTGATAGCGCTTCAGGATGGTGAACTTGGTGTCCCCGACCTCGACCGTGTAAAACATGGCGGATAGCCGGGTTGTCATGTCAGGCCCCAGGTAAGGCATGCGCCTCGGTGTTCGTCTCTCCTGCTGCTGCTGCTGCTGCTGATGCTGCTGCTGCTGCACCTGCGTCGCCGCCTGCACCCCGTCCACCCCGCTGGAGCACTCTTGGTGCACTCGACGGGGACTTACGCTCTTAGCCACTTTGGACGCGGGATTATTAGTGCACCCACGGAATAAGTAATAATGCTAATATAGGCGAGGTATATACGATCGCGTATGTCACCGTCGCGCTGCACCTGCACCTGCAACTGTCAGGCAGGCCGCGCCTCAGCACGCTGACCGATGAGTCCTCACGTGACCCAGAATTGTCTGTAACAAAAAGAAACAAGGCGAGAGCTCGCATAAATTCAAATTATGGACAGCTATTATTTTTAACCGTCAATTTCATTGCTATCTCGTTCATTATTTATCATAGCTGTTACGGTTGTTTTAGCTAAAAGTTATTAACGAGTCTTCGATATCGAAATGCAAATTGGTAATATGCCAAAAGAGCTATCAAGATGGATTAAAATAACACAATTACCATCTGTATTAATTTGATTAAAATCTATTTTAATAATTTCATTGCATATATAATAACGTAGAACTTTGACGGTAAGAATCATACAATATAAAATCTGAAAGAAAGAAATAGAGAGGAAAAGCTCAGGACATGTGACATGTGACATTTTATATGCAAGAATCTAATAATAATTTCGTTCAAGGGCGCGGCTGAGAAATGCACGCGATATTTGTAGCGCGGATAATCGAAACCATATCATTTACACGCGCTCATTCGACGTCACGCGAATCCGCACGTGGCTGACAATGAATTATGCGTATATAAACAAGCATTCATCAACGTCAAAAGAACACGCCGAGAGTCGCGAAAGTCAAATATTAAATGTAAAGCGAGTGCGTTATACTTCTTATCACTGGCCAAGGGAGAATTACCGAAAGAGAAAAAATCGAGACATCGATTCAAATCGGATTAGTATTAGGATCTAAATTAGAATAAAGCAATAAATACATTCGAGACTCCAAATTGCATATTCCGCCAGAGATTAACGCCGAAATTCAAAATGTAATTCGCGGCAGTTCAACGGCACTCGTGTATTTGAATATTTAAATAACCATGGTTGGAAACCATTTTAACGTTCATGTATAAAGCTAGCTCAAATCCAGCTTGGACCGGCTTTGAGCAGTTTGCATCGAGCATTAAACCGAGCCAAGATTCAGGATTTAGCTAAAATTCAGCCAGGATCAAGCTTGGAACCAACTTGGATCAAGTCGGTTTTAAAGAGTTAAAAAGAACGAATTCATCTCTTATACTATATGAAAAATCGATTACAATTCACGCGCGCGCGCGATTAGCATTCTTCTTAAAACATATTCAAGTAAAGTTAAAAAGACGTACATATGTGTGAGACAAGTGACTTTTTATATACTAAAACTAAATAATACCCTCAAATATAATTTTTTACTTTTTTGTCTGTTCATACTATTAGCATTTTTTTTATTCTCTTTTCTATTTTATAATTTTATCTTAGAAAACTAGAAAAATTTCAATTTATGCACAAAAACGTATGTTTTTGTTCTAATCTACTTTACAATATCTCGCACAAATATATACACAGTCATTGTAAATAAAGTTATTAATAATCATCACACACATATATAACAAATTATTAATCATAATAAGTAATTTATTTGACAAGATCGGTGTAACTCGTTCGATTTAAATAATGTTCACCGGCGAGAATTTATGTTACACCGAGACACCTCTGCAAAGAGCTCGCGGTGTTTGTGAATATTTTTCGCTCGAACTTGAACTTCGCTTGAACCTCGTTTATCACACGTCAGCGACGCAGCCGGGGGAGGAGACAAAAGCATTTGTTATCTCTCAAATTGGAAAGTCATCCGCCCATTATTCCTCCGTTCTTGGTCGAGCATGTACGCGATAGTAGCTACCAGAACGAAATGCGTGTTTGTTAGCAGAAATTGCGCTATGAAAGATAAAACACACAATGCAATTGCACAAATGAAATCGTTTCTTATCTCCGTCACTACATCCTTTCGGATAGATAAAAAGAAACAGGATGAGAAACAGACACTAAGATGGCCGGTTTAATCAATTTCTTAGGATTATATTTTCTGTTTCCAGACCAAATAGCAGAGGATGAGAAATAGAAAAATTAATAGATAAAATAATAAAGGATTGTTTAATTATATTTGTTTTCGGATCACGCGTATTCTCTCCATTATAACGCTAATTTTTTTTTGCTTGAATATATTATATAGAAATAATGGTTCGAATTTATTAAAAAACTAAGTAATCCAGATTTATTAATAAACTTGATAAAGTGAGATTTATATTAGAGAAAATAAATGAGCAGATATGTGTAAGTAATAAAACCGCGAACTGCAAAAAAAAACAGATTAAGGATTAAACGCGAATAAGTACCAAAATAAACAGAAAAAGAGGACAGAAACAGACATAAGCGTATCTCTCTTCGCAGTTTATAAAGTATTTCTCTGAAAAGATTACATCATCGGACGAAATTAAAGAAAAGATTAATAAAAAATAGAAGATGCAATTTATTTTTATAAGTCCCAAGAAAATGAAATAGATATTGTATTATAAGAAAGATATAATTTTTATTATGTAATAACTAATGAAAAATTCAAGAAAAATCAATTAAAGAGTACGCCAACTAATTTGTACTATAATGCTATATTATTGTTACTTTCATATTATTAATTTATATTTGAATAAATAACAAATAAATTTATAAATAAATTAATATTATAATAAATAAGAGTGAGCAAATGTGCAAGGATGAATAAACACGCAAGCAAGAAGAGAAATTTTAAATGGCATTTTTACAAAAATTAAAATATTTAGGATATAGGATAAATTAATGCATTAGAATAAATATAATCTTCAACAGTAATTAAAATAATTAATAGATAAAATAAAACATATACAAATAAATAAAGATTTAATAACTAGAACGTTAGATCTGAAAATAGACCAGAGGGGCTATCGAATACAAAGACTAAACAAGAACTAGACTAGGACACTGAATAAAGATGAAGTATCAAGGAGAACATTCGTAACTGAAGGAGAGCAAGACAAGCAAAGCCAATTTCGCCGGATCGTAGAAACTATTGTTTCAAAACGAAAACTACAGTGAAAGGGAGATGAAAAGAGACGCATGCGATCTCTCGACAAATCCATCAACGGGCGTAGCAACTATAAATCGTTAAAGATAATAGTGCCTGCCGCTGGAAAGAAGAGTGACATAAGGGTGGGCTATCTCTCTCCTGCGTCACTCCGGACAATCTGGGTCGCCTTGTCATCCCTTCATACATCGTCATCGAAGAATACAAGCGTGGGAAAGCCAGCCAGGCTATGATATTCGTTATCGTATAACTCCTCGATCGATTGAATGTTTCTGCGAACGTCTCTGCGAATGAATAAGCGATCGAGCTTTGTGTGCTATTAACGCAGATAACCCAATTGCACCTCGATTCAGCGTTTAAATAATACGGGCTCGACACCGGACTCTGAGATATCGATCGGTATAGAGGGAGTTGACAAAAATGTGTACGCGTGGCTTGCTGCGATATCGTACAAGGGAAACCAATCAAGTATACCTTTGCTAAAAAAAAAAAAAAAAAGAAAGAAAAAAAAGAACAATAGCTTTCGGTGCTGCGTTATCTATTAATTGTCTAGCTGTGACAAGCGAATTCCTCCAATGGTCTCGCTTACTATGGATTTCTAAATTTGCAGATATCTTTATTTTCTTGCATTAAAATGTTATTATCCTTTTCATATCTTTAATTATGTATACACATATATAATTTCTCTAAAATTCTCGATATTAAAATAGCAATCTATTAAATTTAATTTATTCGATATAACGTTATCATAACGCAGCTCGTTCAATGTGACGGTGATCAAAACACGAGTCACGGCAGCAAATATATAATACTTTTGCGGGCGTATTCTCGCCGATATCTTCTGGCACCCCGGGATTTCCCCGATTATTTATAGCGACCGTCGCAGACGCCGATACCGACGACGACGACATTCAGCGCAATCGTGCTCTTCGCGGTCGTCTGCATGAGCCAACCACCTTCCGTCGTTCGCCACCTGCTACTAATTACGTAAACCAGTCAAATAGATAAACGGATGCCACGGAGACGCCTTAACGGAAATTCGATAGCTATCGCAATATTCGATCGTGATTTGGAAACTGCAGAAACATTTAAATAAAAGATCCAAAAGTAGAGATCGAAATTCGAAAGTTAGTAGATTTTCTAGGACATTCAAGAACGAGATTTCGAAAGTGACGAAAACATTCGAAAGTCTAAAATTTACAGAAATATTCGATTGAGATATCAATGCTATTTGAGTAAAAAGAGAAAGTGGCAAACTGAAAAACTTTTAACATCTTAAATTTTATCGATGTTGGACTTTCCTAAACTGTAGTATGAATTCTGAAGAAGTTTATTCTCTGAAAATCCTCAGGCTCAAGATTGGAGCACAACCGAACTTAAAGCATAATATTTCGCAAATATAAACGTATTTTAGTCAATTTCTACATGTGAAAAATATAACAAATTATCCTTTTAAATTTTTTTTATAATACAATTAATTTGTCGTTCATGATTTTTCTCTCATAGATAAACTTGTCGCGTTTTGCATTTCTCTCTCAATAGTAACAATACAATTCAAAATATCGAACCAAAACAACGAGTGAAAACATAGCAGTCAAAAAAAAAAAAAAAAGCGATGTTATTTCTGGTTCCAAAAATCACTTGTAGCATTTTATGCAAATAGTTACAAACTCGTGAATAACAAAGACCATGGAATTTTTACCTTTTCAGTTAAAATTAAAATAAAACTTCGTAAAATGCATAAAAATATCAAATACATAATAATTCATGATAAGCTTTATAATAATTTCAATGTTAATACTTTTTTGCGCACGATAAAAACATTAAGAATATTCGTAACATTTTTCACAACTTTTCTATTTTTAAAGTAATTTTAACTTCGTATAATTAACTCTTGCATTAAGACTTTATCAAAGTGAAATCCATTTAAAATTATAAATAATTAGGTTCCACCGCGTTTATTTCCGCGTTTAAAGATTTATTTTCAAAATATCAATTTAAAACATCTTATAATTAAAAAACTATTGGCTTTAATATACGTTATATTTAAAAAAAAAAAACTCGTACTCGACAAAGAGTTTGTTCTTGACCTAATCTGTTCTTGATCTGATAGGAGAGCAAAAACACCCTGTATATCTGGTGATATACGCTTAATTTTTTGTCTTTAGGCTTTTGGCTCACCGTCGTTAAGTTAGGTGCGTTCCAGAGAGATCCATGCGGCAACCATTGTCGGGCGACCATAATTCATCGGACAAGATGGATTTAAGAGAGTTCAGCTTCACGATGTTTCTTGTCGCCGGAAATGATTTAGCGCGGAAAACCGGATAGTATCGCGATTTCTCGTCTATTGCGTTTAGATAGTACAGGGTGTGCACAAAGCTGTTATCTCTCCGTTCATGTTAAATTTGTATTTTGAATTGAAAAGATCTGTTTGAGATATTAATATTATGTCGTCGATATCAATGCTTGCGTTTAATATGACTATATGAGATAAAATAAAACTCTAAATACTTTGAAAATTATTAAAAAATGTGATGTTTAATCTCTACAACAAATTTTTTTGGAACTCAGAGTATATATCGTATATTATATATTATTATGTATGGTTTATGAAAAGTATAATATGTGTATAATATTATACAAAAAATATATATTTCTTTTGGATGCATATTTATGTATACATATATATCAATTTTGTTTATACCAGTTTTGTTATATTTTTTCTTTTGGAATCAAACTACAAACTGAACTAAAAAAAAGTTACTTGTAAACGTGGCAAGCATGAAATATTGGCAATCATTTACGTTCGTCGCGACGAATGCATTTTCGATTTTGATAGCTCGTTTTGGGGTTAAATATTCCTCGAGAATATGCGAAAATTGATCGTCCGTCAAGTCCGTCGTGCAAATTAATACCATCATCATAACGAACACACTCACCATAAACAGGCGGCCATTGTGGATGTGCGGCGAATGCTGCTGGTTACACTAGTGGGGCGAGTACTGCGGAAGCAGGGATCTGCAAACAGACAGAACAGAGACGTTCCTCAGAGAGCGTGTCGGCAGGAATTTGCATGCATCCGTGGACGCGTTAATATTGCACACACCGCAAATCGGTGCATCGGATGCGTGTACGTGACGCACTGGATCATCGATTCGTGCTCCTACTACAAACGTCATAAACTCTCGCTCGATATCATTTTAGCTCGTTGCAACGTTATGCAAGTCGATGGCGTACGTGCAACACGATATGAGTCCCCGATAAAAGCGTATTAAGCGAGGATCAAACGATTAATATCGCGGAATGATTTTATTTGTTTATTCCACAGAAAGAAATATAACATATAAGTCATTAATGATCTCATAAAGCCCGCAAGGGGGGGGGGGGGAGAGAATAAGATTGCAATTATAATCTTTATAATGCGTAAATTTTTTTTTGTACAGCATTTGATACGCCACAGACTTGATGGCAAATACATGATCCTCACTCAATGACTTCTCTTCGATACGTATAAATAAATAGAGTATAATTGAAAGATCCGTAAAAACTTTAAAAGTGAGTTCTAAAATTTTATTTCTGCATTTGCTTTTTTCCTTAATATATATTTTTTAAATTAATTCACATATTAGATAAATAATTTCAAATTAACGAACAGTATAAATATGCCACCTTAGTTCTACAGTAATGTTTACTTGTTCCGTACGATTCGCCCCTCGACTTAATTACTGCGCGAGTAATGAGGATTAATTGCCGTTCTATTGCAATTCTCCCTCGCTTGCTTTCTATTTCGCGGAATATTTAATGAAATCCTTTGAAAATGATGCAAGAGCGCAACTTTTTCCGCTGCATAATTTAGTTAGAATCGATTGCCTGCAAAATGCAACTTGGCTACAATCGCGCGCATCGTGAAAAATGAACTGTCAATGTCAATCGATAACTCGCTTGACTTAATTATTTTTATCTTACACTTCAATCCCTTACGTAAAAGGATCCTACGTAAAATAATATAAAGTAAAAAAAAGATAATATATGAATAATACATTGTGTGTGTGATAATACATTGCTATATGAATACATATATATATACATATACTTTTTTCAAGGTTTTCACTAAACAAAAATTCCGATAAAATTGCATTTTTCTTTGATAAAAAAGTCTTCATCAATTTATTCATGGCTTCGCCTAATATTCATCTCGTGAATTTCAACGTCGAAAGCACGAATCATCCGCTTC